TCGATATAGAACAATCCTAGGGGGTGCCGGCATTAAAAATCCGATCTTACTTTTTTTCCATACATTTTTGTACCACTTTAATGTACATATACAAACATATAAGCGGCGTATTGTAGGAGTACTAAATATATACCAAAATACCATTTGGGTAGTCCTAAATTATCAGCATCATACGTGCAAAATAAAGGCATGCAAAAAATAATAATTNGAAAACTGTTGATTTTCTAGAATTCTACACTATTTCAACGAAAAGTTGTTTTTCCCCCATATAAAATACATGGAAAACTTTGAGCGCTTTGAGCACTCCCTATTTTTATTTATTTTTTTCAAAATAAAAAAATAGGGGTATATTTTTTTCGATATAGAACAATCCTAGGGGGTGCCGGCATTAAAAATCCGATCTTATTTTTTTACATACATTTTTGTACCACTTTAATGTACATATACAAACATATAAGCGGCGTATTGTAGGAGTACTAAATATATACCAAAACACCATTTGGGTAGTCCTAAATTATCAGCATCTAACGTGCAAAATAAAGGCATGCAAAAAATAATAATTAAAAAAAAAAATTTGGGATCACTACTAGGCCTTTGACCTGCTATAACTCAGCGAGTCTATGAATTTATATGAACAAGTTTCAATTATATAATTTCAAATTTATCGGATTTCAAGTTAAAATTGTGACGAATTTTTGCGTTTTAAAAAAATTAAAATTTTTCAAAGCCTTTAGCGATCACTAACACTTTTTTTAATATGTTGAAATTTTCGTAGATTAAAACAAAGGAATGCCCCACACAAATTTTTGATGTTGATATATGTACTTAGATACGTTGATCATACTCGACCTGCTTTGACCACCTTAGCTATGTAAAAAAATAACATTAACGATTTTAATTGAATTGTGGTGTTATCGTCACAGTGTGTGGAAATCAATGCCTAATTGCCATCGACTTTGCTCTAACTTATTTCATTAACTGCCGGTTTCCCGAAAGCAATTTAAGTGAAAAATAATTTTTTTTCTGTCGGTTTCCATATAAAATTCAAATACATTTTTTGTTTTTGTAACTAAAATTGCTTTCGGTTATAAACATATTAATAGTTATTGTTGGGATGCAGATATCACGCATCAGATACTAGTATTAACTATTAATTGCTATAGCAAAAGTGGCTGTTACAAACTCGACCTACTTATTTTCGAGCCATAAATCTGAACTTAAATTTCTTAGAAATAAGCAAGTAACGAAATACAGTGGCGAAAATATAATTAAGGACGCAACAAAATTTGACAATTTTCTTTTTTTATTTAATATTTGCTATTTTTTATGAAAGTATAGCTCGTTATCTAACAAAAATCACGTAATTTCGAATCTCGAACTTTGTACAAAAATTAGAAAAAATCCACATATGTAATTTCATCAAAATTTCGAGCTTTTAACGTATGTAGAAACATTTTCAGTATGCAGTTTTGTAGTTAGAAGCATCCAGGACTAACCGTGGAAAGGTGTTGCTCATTTTCTCCACATAAAAAAGTGCGTAGCACCGTCAACATAAAGTTGCCAAAAATCAACGGTTATAAAACTGCATACCAAATTTTTTTCTAAAAATTCTGATTAGCAAATTTGAAAATTTAATGCAATTTTGTTGAAACTCATAAACTAATTGCGAGACTGTTTTCCTTTGGCTGAGATAGATGTACGATTAACATAAGCGATAAGGTACCGGTGACAGATTATTTAAGCATCAGAGGTATTAATTGCCATGGAACGTTTTGCAGTATCACCGACGATATGAAACAAGTATATTTTAAGCAGAAAAGCAAGCGGAACTAAACCAACTTAGGAGGGGGCCACCCTTTCACAACTATCGAAACCGGTTCCCGTAATCTGGTAAAATCCTCTTCCTTTTTTAGAAGATCGCACCGCTCCACTAGCAGCGACGATTGGCGAGTAAGTTGTGAAGATTTTTTGGAACTGTGTCGGAATGCTTTGTTCAAAATGTGTATTTAAGTGTATTGTGAACCGAGGAAATTTTATTATTTGACTACATGCTTTACTGGATCAGGCACGGGAGGTAGTCATACAGCAGAAACTAAACAATTTGGTGCGCCCATTCACATCGCTCGGGTGGCGAGGAATGCCTTAAAATTTACGGCATTCACAGAAATTGACCACCTTCCCTAATTTCCAGAACTGGTGACTCGTGACTTTTAAATTCAAAAAGTATTTATGGGGACTAAAATTTTCAAACGACAACGACTTTAGGCTGTCGTAGAAAAACATTTAGAAAAGAATATTTGAACGATTTGCATGTTTTTGAGGAAAATTTAAATTAGCGACTGCAATGCTGCTTTTTCCGTTAGTGCTTGTCAGAGTTTCTCCTCCGATTTGTGGTGCGCGCCTTGAGGTTTTCATGACACGCTTTTTCACTGCCGAGGTTTGCCGAGGGTCGGCGGCTATGTATTAGAATAAATCTTGTTTTTTGATGTTACTGGGATCAGTGATGGAACGCTGAAGCCAGGGAGTGGTAGTGCGTTCCTCTAATAATATCGTATTAATTTCAAAATTTTACCACATCCTCAATATTCTTGCACTCAACTATTCCTTAAGTCGGAAAGAAAATTTAGAAATCACCTAACTCCACATCAGGTTTCCAGGTGATCGGAGTAACTAAAGCCGTCAGATAATAATTTCGGTATCCAAACATTTTTCATTTTCTGGAAAAATGAAGTGATTTGATATTATCTGGGTTGTGAAAAAGAGGCAACCAACCAAACACTTTGGCATTGTAGTGGACTTGTAGTTTTTGGGAATAAACTGCAGTAGCCTACGAAAATTCGTTACGAGGTTAGTCTCATTAAATGATTCGATGGTGAGAGATTTGGGTCAAGTGAACAGCTAAACATCTATATTTAGGACATTGAGAAAGCATAACAATTGCAGGGTATAAAAAATAGGAAACTTTATTTTTGGACTAATGTATCGTGACAAGAGGAGACTTTGTTGAGAAAGAAAGTGCCTTTCCCTGAAAAAATGTCTTTTATTCAAAAGTTTTACGACTTATCATGCTTTGAGGCGAAAACCTTATTAATTTTAAATGATTTTTCCATAGGCAAGCATTTGAAAACACGCGAAAAAAATGTATTTCTTAGGAAAATTTTGGCAATTTCGCATTTTTTCAAGCTTTCGCAGGTTTTTCAGCATTTAATTTTAATTACCAGCAACTACTTTTAAAGGCAGAACGGTTGCCTTTGTCAAATTCCTAATATTCTTCTTTTTTCTCTTAAAGACCACAATTTTGTTTAAATACGTAACTAGAATTTTCATCTTGAGGATCTCATTTTGTCAGTTTAACCGCTGCAAATATGCCCAAGCAGGTCAGCAGCAGCACAAAACCCACAGCTGAGATCAATTTCAAAGCGCTCAACTGCACTAGCATATTGTCATTTGCGCTCTCCCACAGTGACGTAGCAACAGTTGCTGCTTGCTCCTCAAGCTCCATGCCTGGGCCTGCGCCTGCGCCTGTGCCACTTCGAGCTTTGAGCTCTGCCATACCTTCTTTCGGCATTACAACTCTGAATGCGATGCGTGATATCTCGGACACTTCGCTGCCATTCGCAGTGCTTTGCTGGTTGCCCACGCCCGCCATGTGAGCGCTTACATTACGCTTACGCCGCCACAAATTGCCCACCGCGCCACAATCACTGGCATCGACATGGCAATCGCGCGCTTCCAGGCAGCCAGTAATGCGCATTGATATGACGAGCTCATCACCGCTGCGCATTCCCTGAAACATAACAGCTTTGAAGTTCAAGCGATGGCCGAGTGGCGGGTCGAAACTCGGTGGTTGCGTGCAAATGCTCTGCATGGAGGGGTTAATGCAGCCGCGTGGAGTTATAAGCGCAACATTGTTCAACAGCTCACCGGACGGTGAGACGCGTTCCACATTAACATCTGTCAGTTTGGTGTAATTCCAACCTGTGTATTGTTGATAAGAGTTGTAGATTAAGAAACTCTCTAAAAGTAATTAAATAACGCAGCATATCCTACCATCACCAGCGATAACATGCGCGCGCAGCAGTAATTCCTCACCCAGCAACACCGCGCTGGTTGCATCTAGTTGACGCTCATATCCCTGTGCTGTGCGCCGCAGTAGCTCTACGTGCGTGCGAAAAGGCAGCTGTGTGCCGCCGTGTGCATACGTGCCCAGGCTGCGCGCTTGTCTGCAAAGGTATTTAGGAGGATCATTAATACATTTTGCATTGTCATTCGCAAACACATTCAAAACGCCTACTTACACCTCATTGGACACGCTCATTTTGAGCGCATGCGTCTTTACCGCCACGCGCTGTTGCGTTTTGCAGTGCAGTGTCAGTATGCCATCTGCGCTCGTGCGCATGCCGCGTATGCTGGGAAACCGCAAACGTAAACACAAATCCTTGCCGCAAGTGTGCACGCCACACTTTTCAAAGTCCTCCTCGACGATATCAGCCACCACAAAGCTGCGCGCCAACTTTAACTCGCAACGCTTGTCGTTCGAATCATTGTCGACTGTGGGCGCTGCGCCTATGAAACTGTCCACTTTGAGTACGGCGCGAAAATATCCGCCGCCAGCGTGTTGCATGCAACGCATTTCGTGTACGTGCAGGCGTAAGGCACCATTTCGATTGTATTTTCATCTGCTGGCAAATAAGCAGGCGCAGGTGTTGAAAGAGGCAGCTGGAATGGTGGACCAGCGGGTACATTGTAATCATATCCCTGTCCACTGCCTTGTACAGGTGGCTGTAGTGCAATTGGTTCGTTGTTGATGGGAGCTTGTGCGGATGGTAGAATAGCTGGTGGATCCACACCACAATAGGGTGGGGGCGCTCAGTTGTAGTGGTGGTGGTGGTGGTTGGTCTCGTTGCTGGTATAAAAGTGGATGTGGGACGGGGGTAAAAGTAGCCGGCGCTGTAGAAATAAGGAAGAAGTTTTAGAGATATTTATTTTTTTGCAACTTTCCAACAGGCCTCTATGTTACGAAATGAAGGGCCCACAACATCGACATAAAAAAATTATGAATTTGGGCCTTTGCAGTTCTCAAATGGCTTATAAAGTATTTAATATGGACTGCTCCCATTAGGAAACGTTTAATGAACATTTGTCGTTAACACTCTCTTAAACACCCTATCTAAACTAGCCACCTTAGCAACGAAGATCAGTATTCGCTGCAACTAAAATACCACCACTTTTCAACTCATTTAACCTCCGCACATTCCATTAGCCTACTGTAGCATTTTCCAGCACTTATCCTTTGTACTCACCCCGAGGTTGGCGGCCGCTTGGATGCCTCATAATTAGGCCGATTCTCCTCCGGTGTCAAATACTGATTGCGCAATGGTATAAAATTAAATCTACCACCGCTACCACTCTTAGCGCTGCGATTCTCCACAATCTCGGGCAATGTGAATTCAGTTGTTGAGGGCCGCACTGGCGCTACAGGAGAATGTGTAGACGTAGGCGGTGTATCGGGAAAAGTAGCATTCGAAGAAAAATCTCCCGGCGCGGGTGGCAGCGCAGCATACAAACTCGTTACGGCGGATTGTTGTGGCACTAAAGCTACAGGATACTGATGTTGCTGTGAATAGTAGTCATAATCGCCAGCAAAAAAGTGTGAAATATCCGCGTAAACTGAAGCACAAAAGTAGAGCACGAGAATAGCATAGCTTATTTGCGATAACATTGCACTTTTTTGGTTTTTGGTAAACTAATGACTTTTTTGTGGCACAGCTGGTTTTTATACCGTCAAACCGAAATGGAAGTTGGCTTGTAAAATTTTCTTGTATTTGAGCCACGAACAATGGCTTTTTTATTGTTTTTTTTTTTTTTTGAAAATTGTCGTGGTTCTTATTTCCGATCGTAAAAATTTACTTTCATTTACAATTAACCAAAAAAAAATCGCATAACTGAAAGTGGCGTAGTGAAGAAGAAACAGTGGTTAGCATTGCCGTAGTCGGCACGTTTTTCGTGTTACATGGCGTATGCGTATCTTTTTTTGAATGACCCAAAGGTATGAATGTGTATGCCTGTATATGTGTGTATGCTACGCACTTTCCTTTAACACGATTTTTTCGTTTGCTGATTTAAATTATTTCGTGTGCTACTAAATGTTTGTTGGGAGAGGTTAGGACGGTTTTTGAATTGTTATAGATATTGTTGACTGGAGAACTTAAAAAAAATTACACCTTCGTGGTTTTTGTGACCATTTTATAGTTTAAGGGAATACACTTACATATGTATATACATATGTACACTTCCGGCAAAAAGTATTGGCACAGCTGCTTTCTTACAATATATGCAACAATTTTTATTGTAATATTTTCCGCCAATTTTTTTATAAAAGTATGGTTCATTCCACAACAAAAAGCATAAAATTATAATTTCTAAACCTTGTGGAAAACTCGTGAAAATTCAGCAAATTTGAAACTTTTTAACAGATTTTTTAGAATTTTTTTCGGTATGCAGATTTGTAGCCCATTAGATGCTGGTATAAAAAATGCAAGTTCGCAGTTAGTCAAAAATCGGATTGATTTTTGAGAATTTTTTTTGTTGAAGGTGTTTTGCATCTTTTTCATATAAAGTATTTTCGAAAAATTTTTTTGTATGGAAGAGACTGCGGGGAAAAAAATTGCCAAAAATCAACGGTAATTCGTAGCTACTTAGAACTTCTACTTTATTACAATAAAATTGATTGGGCTACAAATCAGCATACTCTGATTAAAAAGTTGTAAATTAGCATGAAAATTTGCTAAATTTTCGCGAGCTTTGCACAAAGTTTAGAAATTCGTTTTTTTTTTGTTGTGGAATGAACCACACCCAAAAAAAAACTTCTCTTAATTGAAGAAAAACAGCAATCCAAATGAAGAAAAATGGGAACGAAACAGCACTGAAAGAGTTTTATCCTCGTTTCATGCCCAACATTTCTTCAACGGTTCCATATTTTCGTGTACGTTTTTACACATTCCAAAGAAAAATTACGCATTCGGGAGAATTTTTTACTCATTCGGAAGAATTTTCTACCTTAAAGTAAGGAAATTTTTTCTTTGATCCAGAGATGGATTTTTGGTTCAGTGCATATTTTCCATTTTTCCTACCACTCTAACGCACCGTCCTAATACTAATAAATTAAAGTTCTCCAAAAATTTGTTTAAACTTTTGCTAAGGAGGTACAAATTTCGCCTTTTGTAAATTTTTGTTGTCTTCGGCATTTACAGTCGAATCTTAAGGTATGGCTTATCGATGTTTCTGTCTCAACGCCAATTTTTTGTATTCCAAAGTTCATTGACCTCAAATATCCCGTTCTAGTACTTACATACCAGCTCTCGGTTCTTATAACCCTAACGTACCACCCTAATGTCAGTATATTAAAGCCCAAAAAATCATTAAACTTTTTCTGAGAATGTATTTTGATTATTCTAGTAGAACAATTAAAACAAAAAAAATTTTGGTTGTAGTGTAATCGAAAAGTGACCGCTGTTCGAGCAAAAAAAATTATTTTCAAATTCCCTTGCAAAA